AGGAAATAACAGTAACAGAAATCACAGAGTTGAAAGGGACCTGGAGGTCTTCTAATCCAACTTCATGCTCAAACAGGAGACCCTACTATTCAGGACAAGAAAAAGAAAGAAAGAAAGAAAAAAGAAAAAGAAAGAGGGAGAGGAGGAGGGAAGGAAGGAAATAACAGTAACAGAAATCATATAACAGAGTTGAAAGGGACCTGGAGGTCTTCTAATCCAACTTCATGCTCAAACAGGAGAACCTACTATTCAGGACAAGAAAGAAAGAAAGAAAGAAAGAAAGAAAGAAAGAAAGAGGGAGGGAGGGAAGGAAGGAAGGAAGGAAATAACAGTAACAGAAATCATATAACAGAATTGAAAGGGACGTTGGAGGTCTTCTAGTCCAACTTCATACTCAAACAGGAGACGCTACTATTCAAGACAAGAAAGAAAGAGAAAAAGAGAAAGAAAAAAAAGAGGAAGGAATGAAGGAAAGAAAGAAAAAGAAAGAAAAAAAGAGAGAGAGTCAAAGGAAGGAAGGTGGGTGAGTAGGTGGAAGGAAGGAAACAAGGAAATAAATAGAAATAGGAATAATAGAAATCGAAATAATAGAAATTGAAATAGTAGAAATAGATACAGAAATAGAGATACAGAAATAGAAATATTACAATCTCTTCTCCCTCCTCAGTTGATCTGAACAAGACCCACATTTTCTGGGGGAAGATCAATCAACCACTTGAAGCCAAAAAGACTTCATTTGGCTAAGCTTCCCAACATCCCCCATCCCCCCTTTTCTTGCTGCATCCATCTTAAGCCAAGCCGCTGGCTCTCTGAAGCGGGGAGAATGCCCGGCTCTTAAGCCTGCCAGGAAATGCCCAGGCAGCTCTCATTAGAGGCCATCCAAAAAAAAAAAAATGCCAAAAGAATTCTCTCACAATCTGGGGAAAATGGGGAGACAGGGAGCACTGCACCCCAATCATGGGGAACCATCTCCCTTCCCCATCCCAGACTGGCATCCAAGCCACCCAGCCTCTTTTCGCTTGCCTTGGCAAAACCCTGCCCTCCTTTTTCTTCTAAATGCTGGGCATTGCAAAGAGGGGTTTTGGATTATTTAATTTAATTTTTAAGGCTTTTCCAGCTGCAAATGTTGCCTCTTCTCTACCCACCACTCCCAAAAGGCTCTATATCCCGACACTGTTCCAAAGGGAGAAAGAAGAATCAGACCAGGCAGTTTGGATGCCCAGGATCTGCCTGGGACCCGGCTTCCTCCAGTGGGTGGGGGGTTTCTCCCTTCCTGCAGCCCCCACCCCACCCCTCCCCTAAAAATCTAGGCTTCTGTGCAAGGCCCTGGCGTGCTTAACTCACCCGCTGGTCCAGGCAGTCGGTTTCCCAGGGGAGCGGAGGAGTTAAAAGGGTAGCGGCCAAGCTGGCATGTTGGGGTTCGGGTGTGTCTCCAAATTCCAGGAAGCGGAAGGTGGGTTTGGGTCTCTCCTCTCTGCCCCCTCCCCAAAAGCTGGACCCACGTCGGCAGTTTTAACGGCAGTGCATCTTGGAGATGGCTGTAGACTGGAGCATCCAGAGAGGAAATCTGGCAGGCTGAATTTTCCTGGGTCCTCGGTTTCCCCTCGGTTTCCCACTTTTTCCTCCTCCTCCTCCTCCTGCTCCTCCCCCTCCTCCTCCTCCCCCCCCTCCTGCCCCAATCCAATTTCAGCAGCGTTCAAAACGGAAATGTCAAAGGCTGGTCTTACAAGGGATGGCAGCTGGTGGGGACGTGCAGAGAAGATGGCCAGCTTGTTCCCAGGTTTCTGGCTCCTTTTTTCTCTCTCTCTCTCTCTCTTTCCCCCGTTGGAGGAAAGGATTTCGGTCTGACGCAGATTGGGGATGAGTTGATACCAAACCGATGCCAAGCAGTTACATCGAGAACCATGTGTGCTGGAGTCACAATAAGCCACATTGGTGAGGGGTTTTTTTTCCTTCCACCCCCCCAAAGAATTCAGAATCTGCTCTCTCTTTCTCTGGATCTCTGCAGCCCATTTAGAACGGACAGGGGTTACTCAACGTGCTAAATCAGTAAGTAAGGTAAATAAAGGAAGGTTCTACATTTAGGCAGGCAAAACCCAATGCACAGGTACAGTAGAGGTGGCACCTGGCTCAATAGTAGTAACTGTGAAAGGGATCTTGGAGTCCTAGTGGACAACCACTTAAATAGGAGCCAGCCGTGTGCAGCAGCTGCCAAAAAAGCCANGGAAGAAGGAAGAAGGAAGGAGAGGAGGGAAAGAAGAAAGTGGTAAGGAGAAGAGGGTGGAAGGGAGAGAAAGAGAAGGAGAGAGGGTAGGAAGGGGAAGAGGAGGAGTAGGAGTAGGAGAAAGGGAAGGGAAGAAGGAAGGAGAAGGAGAGGAGGGTGTAAGGGAGAGGAAGAGAAGGAGACAGGGTAGGAAGAGGAAATGTAGAAGTAGGAGTAGGAGAAAGGGAAGGAAAGAAGGAAGGGGAAGGAGAGAAGGAAGGAAGAAAGTAGAGAAGGGAGGGAAGGAGAAAGAAATGGAAAATAAGGTGGTGTTACAAAAGGAGGCAAATAAAGCAACCCAAACTGTATATTATATAACCTATTAAATGAAATAATAAATGTATAAGAACGATAAATGTAAAGAAGGAGAACAATCATGTGAATGTAGACTTAAAATGGTATGTAGGAGACTAAAAAATAAAAAAAAATTATGAGAAAAAAGGAAGAAATAAAAGCGTATTGTGGATGAATAAACCAAGGAAGCGATCTTTCTCTTTGGATTTAAATCCCAAAGGGGGAGAAGTGAATGATATTTCCGCATTTTTCTGCACAGGCCAAGCTGGGCATTCATTGCAAGAGCTTTGGAATATATTCTATATATTTAAAAGGACCAAAATAACCCCACCCACCCCCATTTACCATGGCAGGAGGTCTCCTTAGAGTGAAAGCAGGAGCACATCTGGCTGGGTCTTTTCCTTCGTCTTGGGGGCGCCATTTCTGACTTCCGGATTGGTCTTCCATGCGTCTGGATTTTCTCTCTCTCTTAGCCTCACATCACGGTTGGGGTGGGTGGGTCCAAAATGAGGATGGGCAAGCAGAGCTGTGGAATAACCAGGATGCATGTCAGAATGAATGTAAAAAGAGTGACGGGTTTATGATCAAGCAAAAGGAAAGAAAGAAAGAAAGAAGGAAGGAAGGAAGAAAAGAAAGAAAGAAAAAAAGAGGAAAAGAAGGAAAGAAAGAGGTAGAGAGGGAAGGAAAAGAAAGAAAGGAGGGAAGGAAAAGAAAGAAAGGAG